TTTTTTTTTTAATCTATTCACCCCAAGCAAGTCAATAATGCCACTAAGAAGCAAAAGGCTACTGGATGTGAAAAAGAAGGAAAAAACTTTAGAAGGAACTGGAAACCAGAGATAAACCTCAACTCGTGAAGTTAGTGGAGCAGTCCATTTATTTATGAAAAAAAAAAAAAATTGCATGAAAATGTGTATGGACAAAAAGTAGGGATCAGTTTTGTATTGTTAAGTAATAATCTGAAATTTTCATTAATTACTCAGTATTTATATAATAAATAAGAAATATATTAATGATTCATATATGAAAGCATTCTAATAATAGTTAAGTACAAAATATTTTATTTTTAATCAATTCACTCCAAACAAGGCAATAATGCCACTAAGATGCAAACCATTTTCTTGCATATGATATGTGGCAAGGAGCACCGTCATGCTGAAAAAGTTTCTCCATCTTCATCTGGCAGAAGATCAGGCCGTAGTAAACTAATATAGTTTTTGCTGTTTAGGTGTTATAGTGGAACACACCTATTCTATATTTAATAGACACTCCCACCTATAATAAGTAGGAGTAGTAGGAGTCGCTTAGTCGCTCAGTGAGTCGTTCTGAGTTCAGTCTGAAGTCGGACGACCAGCTGACCGGTTGAACACTCTGCCTTCGGGCGGGGAGGAACCCGAACGAGGCTACGCCGAAGGGCAGAGTCTCTTTCGGGGAGGTAAACCGACCCTGAACCCGTTTATACGGGTTCAATGGGCATATTTTTGGCCGAGCCTACGGGCTCGGGAACCCCACATTAAACTCGGCCTTGTGCCACATGTGACTGCGTGGGGCAGTGACTAAATAGACTCACTGAGTTGGTCTGAGTTTATACGGGTTCAAATGGCCATATTTTTGGACAAGCCCGCGGGCTCGGAGATCCCACGTTAAACCGGCCTTGTGCCACATGATGCACTCGTGGGGGGGGGTGACTGAATATCCTCAGTGAGTTGGTCAGTCAGTGGATGCCGGACGACCGTTAGTCGGATACTAAAATATCAGCGACCACCACTAGATTTCTCTGCGTCATTACCTATTATATCAAGTTCCTAACGTTTTGTACGTCGAACCTATTTTATGACCGACTTAGTACAAATACAAGCCCCCTCGTTCTGGGGTGGTCTTGGGCGACAGTGATTGCATGATAATAATGTCGCCTTCTTCTTTAATAGATGGTGATCGCTAGTTGTTTTGGACAGAGACAAAAGAACTTCAACGCAGGGAATTTTAACTTAGCTAGTTTATTAAGGTTGTTATATACATCTTCTCACTAGCCAGTGGGTTGCTGTATTCCTTCCAGTGGGAAGCAGATCCAGACATGAAAAGGAAACATGTCTACATTGCTCAACAGTTAAGACTCAACTCTCCGAAAACACTTTCTGTGTATCTATCTCACGCTGGCTCAGCTAATCAAAATCGACTTCCTTGTTTTGTCTTCCATCTGACCGCACAGGTCAACCCGAGGAAGTCACAGCATTAATAGTTTGTTAAACTATTTTTTAACAATAATTGATTTCTTTTCTAGACATAAAGCGTGTAAAAACTGTTCAAATCTTCTAGGAAAGTTTTTTTTAATAATATCTTATTATATGAAAAAATATGTTAAATCCATATTAGTTGTTTTTGCCATTTCTTTTATATAGGTAGAATGTGTATATCTATATGTATGGTTTTATAATAAATTCATATTAATATAGAAATATTACTCATCTTGGAAATGAAAAGCTAAATTATATATGTTTGTATTTGCATATTCACTTTGATGCAGTAATTCAGTTTTCATGATTTCATTCAATTTAAGAAAAAGGAAAATCTGTTAAATATAAAAAATGAATAAAACTATTTATACAAAGATGTCACACAAGCATTGACAGTAATATAAAACACAAATAAATTTCAAAACTCTAAATGTAATTTTTAGCAAAGCAAACATACACTTTCTTTGAAAATTGGTTCATGAAAGCCGAAGGGCATAGAATTCGGTATCCTATTTACAGAGACTGAATTCTGATGTCAAACACCTTGATGTCAAGTGGGAAGAAAAACTTAATAAAAAAAAAATATATGGCACAAAGAACATTATTTAGTTTTGAATTCAGATTCTCTAAAAGAATCTTTCTCCAAAAGAAAAGTCATCTAAATAAACTTGGTCTATAGCCAGACTTGAATGAATGCTGCCTAAAAACACTCACCATATATATATATATATATATATATATATAATACAGCGTGTAACAGCAAAATTGTCCAGTTGTTAGCTTAAGTTTTTAAGAAATGTATTTTAGAAATGATTAAAGATATCTTACTGGAATTCTCTGAGGCTTTATAACACTACTGAACTCTACTTTGAGGAATAAGAAGGTATAATTATTCTCTAAGCTTAACAGAAGTATCGGGATGAAATCAATCATAAACAAAAATGACGCGTTCATCATTAATTAATCATAGCTAAGGATCGAAATCTCATGAAAT